TTTCTAAAATTTTATGGTACATTTTAATAGTTTGCACTTTTATTCTAGTTCTTTGCTATTATAATAATCTATTTTATTGTGTTTACATTCTAGTATGATTGGTAGTTTTCTTTTGCTAAGTACAAGATTTTTTTTCATGTTAAAAATAATCTATTTTTAATTGAATCCTAAAATTATTCATCACTACTTGGTTCAATTATTATCAATATATCTTAGTAAATGATAGATTTTTTAATGAGCAATTGGTTAGATAGTGTTATGTTAAAAATATAGCCGCCAGAATATGTGTTTGGTAGTATATGTCTCATATTTAAAAAAAACGATACATAAACGAAAAAAAACTCAAAACCCGACAAAAACCGACATAAACTGCATTGATAAAAACTGACTTCATTGGTCTGGTTTGGTTCCAATACTTGAAGAAACAACTTACTTAGCTTGATTTCGGGGGATTTGCATCTATACCCGCTTTTTGTGTCATGTTTTAACTTGTGCCCACTTTGCAAAAAAAATTACAAGCGTACCCACTTTTTCGCATAACTTCAGCATACGGGGCTGAAGTAGCAAAGGCAATCACGCAAAACTTCAGCATTCTAGTAGACGGACCTGAAGTAGCAAGTGTGCTGAACCAAGTGTGCTGAAGTTTTTGTTTATAATTGCTGAACTTAAGCATAGTAACTGAAGTTTTGTCTCTATTTGCATTGCTGAAATTTTTGTTTTCTAACTGGCGAACTTCAGCTCTAGAGCTGAAATTTTTATTTTTGTAACTGACGAACTTCAACTCTAGAGCTGAAGTTTTTGTTTTGTAACTAGTGAACTTCAGCTCTAGAGCTGAAGTTTTTGTTTTTGTAACTAGCGAACTTCAGCTCTAGAGCTGAAGTTTTTGTTTTGTAACTGGCGAACTTCAGCTCTAGAGCTGATGTTTTTGTTTTATAACTGTCGAACTTCAGCTCTAGAGCTGATGTTTTTGTTTTATAACTGTCGAACTTCAGCTCTAGAGCTGAAGTTATTTAATTCATTTGTAAAAACTTCCGCACTATATAAGCAATGGACATTTTATTTCTTATTGCATACAACTATACAAGTTACTTGGTGTTTCCTTGTCATGGGCAAGATGCTAAATTTATGGTGAATTACTTTCACTTCAGCCTGAAGTTAAGGGTGAAAAAGGACATGGTGCCAAACAATGACCACTTGCAGATCCATTCGTATTTCTTGACTGGAATACAGTAGTGTAAGAAAATTTTCGTCTTATCATTGAACCAGATATGTCTACACAAAATTTTAATACCTGAAGTTCCATAGTAGCACCAACAACAGCAGCAGCAGAAGAAGAAGAAGAAGAAGAAGAAGAAGAAGAAGAATAAGAAGAAGAAGAAGAAGAAGAAGAAAACGAAGGAGGAGGAGAAAGGGGGCTGAAGTTATATAAAAAGTGGGTACAAGTTAAAAGTTTTTAAAAAAAATGAATATAAGTTAAATGGGGGCGACCAAATAAGACGCCCCGTGCAATTTTTACCTTGATTTCGGGAAAATCCAATCCAACTTAATCGTGAACGCCCCTAACTAATATTATGTGAAATAATTTAAATATCTAACTCAAAACATTAACTAAGACAATATTGATGGAGTGACCCAAGACATTATAACATCTTTCTAGATCCTTACACAATGAATGAATGACAAGAACAGTTCCTAACCCTTTTGTACTCACTAAATAACCAGCATATTTTAAGAACATAAAGTTACAAATATTCCAAAATTTTATGGATTTACTTTAGATACATACAAGAAGTTTTACGTACACTGAACTATAAGTAAAACTAATCAATATCTATACTATATTAAAAGTACGAAGGCGCTTAGCGAAATGTGGTTCGCTTTTTTTTACCCTTTAAAAATAAGTTTTTATGGGATAAAATTGTAATTTAAGTTTCTTTCCTAATATTTAGGACTTTAAATTCAATTTTTTTTTATTGAACTACGTAAAAAAAATCCTAATATTTAGGGAGGAGTTTGTGGAGGTTGCTATATATATATATATATATAGAGTTTTCAATTGTTTCCAATAATAAATACACGTTAAGATATAATTTTTTTACTCTAAAACACATGAAATAGTAGTACATTCTCGAAGCACAATTATAACAACATGGAACACATCCGAATTCGTGATTTAAATGATTCCAAGTAATTGGGTATTAGCTTATCTGTTAAGCTGAGTAATTATAGGAAAGTTAAAGTCACAAATTCTTAGTTTACTTCAAAATTCTAAATAGTAGTTCATATATAATTTTAAAAAGTAACTTTATCATATTAACATTTTATTCCATATAAATCATTTCCTATTTGTACTCTGTAACATAATTTTTTTTTGTAAATGAAAAAAATAATATTATTCATCTATATTATATCAATTATATATTTGATCTATTATACAAGTAATTAAACATAATTTTAATGCTTTTATTTATCTGAAGTTAATTATTTTCTTATAGTGCGATTTTATTTTATGTTGTACATTATTAATTGGCATCACATGTGCTAAGATGATTGAATTTTGAGGCCACATTAAGTTTGTACGAGAATAATTATTTTTTGTTCATTAGTTTTTGTGCTAAAACTATAATTACAGTTAAATAGTTAAACTTGAGATGGACTAATATTAAGAATTCAAATTAACCAAAAGTTCTTTAATATTGAGAACAAATATTAAGTATAAGAATTAAGTAATTAGAAAAAAATCAATTCAGTTATTTTCTAAGTTCATCTTATAAGTAAAAATATTTTTAAAATACACTCTTAGAATATATAATTTGTTTCTAAAAGAATAGCAATGCGATGAAAGAAATCGTAATATGATATTAAGATCCAAAATAGTTAAAAATGCAAAACTCTAAGGAAAACATAAATAGAATACACACGCAAAGCGTGTATCCTAAAGCTTGCCTTAGCGAAATGTCGTTCGCCTTTTTTACCCTTTAAAAATAGATTTCATACTAAACAAAATACTCATTTTCTTATTTTTTCTAATATTTAGTACTTCAAAATCAACTAATATTCTGCTTATTAAATCTTTCCTTATTGAATTGAAATGCTGTCACTAGAACGGACCACACAAATAACATTTTTCTAGCAGCCTAAAGGAAGTATTCAAAGATAAGATAACGCTATGCAGACACAAGCTAACTTCAAGTATGCAATTAATTCACAAGCGATTCCTTCAGATCTTAGGACTGCCTTGTATCAGGTGAAGAGAAGGGGGTGGTAGGCTTAGTAGGGCTCGAACCTACAATATCACCGTTATGAGTGGTACATTTCAACCAATTAAACTATAAGCCCCTACGGATCTCTACATGCAGTTCGCTCACTTCGGGAAGAGCGGACGGAAAGAGAAGGCCTTTGTCCTATCTGCTTTTTCCTCTTTCCATTTCTTAAGATTAAGGTTCGAAAGGACCAGACATCGATGAAGTATGAGTCTAAAACACTATATGCAGAGCTGCCTTAGCTCGATAGATCAACGAATCAGGAGATGACTTCTTAAACATTCTTTCCCCAAATATTACCGATAATAGAATACCTAAAAATCATTGGAAATCAGCAATGCATGTTCTTTTTCATTTTGACTTTTTAAGAGTTAATTTTATTTCTAAGTATAATTTTTTAGAAGTTTAAACTAACATGGTAATATTAATTTAAAAAATAAATCGAGCTACAACCATACTATGTAAAATTATAACTACAATTATTATATTTGAAACTTTAAAATAACTACAAAGTTTTTTTCTTCACAAAAAGAGATCCACTTAACTTAAATATAATCTTAATGAAATTTGAATGAAACAAAAAAAAATTATGTAATTAGGTTACAAAGAATAAATTCCATCACCATGCTTAAAAAGACATATAAATATCAAAGAAAAAGGTTTTAATATTAGACTTAAACCCGAGAAAAGAAAAAAAGAAACAACGAAAAAGTCAGAGCATATTTTTAAGCTTTTAGTCTGTTTAGTTATAAAAGTAGATTAACTTTATTTTTTAATATATAATATTTATTTTAGAATCTTGATGAATTAAAATTAGATTTTATCATTTTATTCTCTAGAAAAATAAAAAAACTGATTGATTCGTGTAATAATTCCCATAAAAATTTTATACTCCATTTTATATCTAATGAGAGAGTGTGCACTCTCTTTTATTTAATAAAAAATTATTTTGTTGGTATAATAATATTATGAATATAGAGTTTTTAAAGAAAGGTTAGGTGAGATGCAATAAACATAATATATTATTTATATAATAAAATATTTATTAACCACAAAATATTATACAACTAATTCAACTAATGTTATCATCTTTGTATGTTTAGAAGATATTAAATTCACAATTATTGTGTCAATTTAATAATTCTTATTTTTATGATTTAAATTAATATTTGATTTATCAATTGTTATTTCAACAATTTCTTCTTCTTGTATATGCTTATAGTGACTGACGTGATGCACACGTGCACTGCACGTATACGAGTAATTTAAAAAATAAGATATGTAATTTATTAAAATATGTTAAATTAAGATTTTGTTACCTAATAGGTTAACTCCAATTGCCTCATTCATATGGGTTTGAATGTGGAACAAGAAATTGACACATCACACATACTAAGCGTCCGTCTTGCTACATTTAACACGTGTTCTTATAGAGTGCACTAAATGTACATGAGACGACATCACAAAAACGTCTTCTTATTGACTGCCTGCTGTGCTCACCTATATTAAAATAAAAAAATAAAAACTCCGAGAGAGAGAGAGAGAGAGAGTCGTCATATTTATTTCCTTAAATTAAGAAACGTGATAGAGTTTACTACTACAATTATTATATATTTTAAGAAACAACTCAACTAGCGTACCACTTTCTTGAATAGATATATAAGAATACATATATATATATATACACTAGTGTTTGACTCTTTTGTTATCATCATCAATCAACTATAAATAGTTTGCAGTAGACCAAACAAGACACATTAATTAAACACTTCATATGTTGTTTTTGTACTCTATGGACAACCAAATGAACATGGGTCGATTTGTCATATGTGTTATTTTACTAAGTTTATTTTGGATTAATGAAGTAAGCTTAGTCCTCGGAGATATTGGCACTGCTACTTCTTATAATCCCCCTTATACCCGTGAGTAATTAATCCTTCTTTTTAATTTCTTTCTTTTTCCCTCCCTTATTATGCATGGGGCTGATTTAATTATACCATGCACTAAGCATTTTTTCTTATTCCATTTTTAAACGGCGCAGCCACCAAGTGCGGCGGCAATCGGGCGGATCAGTTCCCGTCGGGGAATCTGTTCGTGGCGGTGAGCGAAGGGCTTTGGGATAACGGAGCCGCCTGCGGCCGCCGTTACAGGTTGAGATGCTTGAGTGGAAACAATAGGCCATGCAAAGAAGGAACTATTGACGTAAAAGTTGTGGATTATTGCACCAAAAGACCATGTCCTTCTACTATTGTTTTGTCCAGTGATGCCTTTGCTCAAGTCTCCCATTCTCAAAATGCCAAAATCAACATTGAATATGTCCAGTACTTCTTCTTTCATCCTTCCTTTTCTTTTTGAATTTTAACATTTTAGTAACTTTTCTATTTCATCTTTTTTATAGCTCGCGCGTTATGTTTTATTTTGTTAATTTTTGTTATTTATCTTTTCAGGATTTGACGACAAACAAACTACGTGAAGCTTAGGAATATGAAATTGTCTTCCTTCAAAAGAAGCTATGATATATAAGTACTAGCTAGTTCAACAATATCTCAACTTCTTTTTAGCAGTTAAATTAAAGGAGATAATTGAGATATCTTTGATGTATTTTAAACACCTTTTTGAGCAAACATATTGTTGCTCCCAGATACAAAAATGATACTATATAACATCAAGTATTATTACTAAAGACATTTGTTATTTTCAAATTATTTATTCAAGCAATTTTTAAATTGTTGTTCGTAACTAATTATACTACGCAAAATATGAAATAAATAATTAATTAAGACACACAATAATTGGAGGACAGAGATATAATTGTAAGTGCCAGCATATCAGTCTGCCTTTGCAATTCCCACGTGCAACAAAGTAAAGTATGTTAGTATTATTATTTATAAGGTAATAAACATACAAGGTAATAAATTATTTAACTTGTCTCCCAAAGAAAATAATATATCAGATAATATTCTGTAGTTATGCATATATGGTAGTTTCTTTGATGGAAAGAAATTACCATATATTAGGAGTTCCTAGGGTAATTATAATTTATGGAGAAGTCCCTAGGCTAAAGTATTTGCCTAAGAGTCCCTAGCCTACCTATAAATACGCTCTGTCAAAGTTTTTACAAGGCGATTTTACAAAATTTGAACAACTATGGCTGAAGGTACGTTCTTTGTTTAATTTCCGATGCGTTGGCTCTGTGTTTGTAATCTAATTTCAACAAAGTATCGATCTTAAAACTTTGGTCCGAGTAAATTTGGGATTGCTTGCACAGTTGCGCTGAAAGATCCCCTCTGCCATCCTAAGAAACAATAAAACACAGCCACAACGACTATATATTAATTGTTCAATTTGAACCCATTGCTTTTCCTTTTTCAATGACTTGGGGTTTCTAATACTAAAAGTTCTCTATTTCAACTTATATACACATCTCTAAACAAACTAAAAAAAAAACTTCTGGCAAACACAAACTGAAGAAACGAAGAAATTTGGGGCGGAAATCTAATAGTAAAAAGTATAATAATAGTCTTTCAAGCACTTTAAACTAGACATGACCAAGTACATTAACCAAGCAAGTCTAAATCTGCAAGAGAGCGAACTGAATGCTCAATTTGGAAACTGAGAAATTTAAATGGTTTAATCTTTAAGCATGAAATATGAATATGTCTGTGTACACAGGTGAAACCGAGGCTAATGAATATCCCGATTTTCCGGTGAGGCAAACGAAGCGAGGACATGACCGCAAGAAATCATAATCGAAGCCAGGAGCCTCTCGCATCAAGGCCCGACCAATACACTCGCCCTCGGAGCTATCGAGACCACGCCCCCGAGTCCGGTTCGAGCTCTGATCCAAGACTCGAAGAGTATTAACAAACTACCACGCACAATTAACAAAGAGCTGTGATATCCCTATCCAATCGGATATCATGACATGAATCTCCGCCCGTATCAGCGGTGAATCAGTAATTAGCGAAAAGAAAGATTTTTACCTTTCTCAGAACTGGACTTAGGGTAAAATTGCCCTACTACATAAAGGGGAAGTTGATTATTCATTAGGGACATTATAACACATATATCAAGGCAATATACATTTGTTTCCTATGCTTCTAAAGATTATTCTGAGTTCTTAGTTTTGTTCATAGCCCTTCCTAAGTGTTTGGTTTCGAATATAAGGCAAGTTAACTGCTTGGATCATAGCTTGACTTATAACTGGTTTGACCATTTATTCCATCTTTGATTTGTTATTCTAACGCTATTAATCACTTGTATTGAATTAGTCTGCATATCCTTAAAACCGCGTATAAATTTAATTATTATCTATTTTTAAGGATAAACAGTTTAACGCCCACCGTAGGGCTAAGGATAATAGTGGTTATTTGATACAAATTTCCATAGCGCACTCTGTTTTACGCTTGTTCTTTGAGATTTTAGTTTTAGGTAGAATGTCAAACTCTCAATCTGCTCACTTGAACGTTGATGCTGAGTCTGGCCACCATAGCGAAAATAACAATATAGTACCTAGCAATGAGGTGCCCCTTTTGACCCCAACGGAGTCCCAGTTGTGGACCCGATCGATGCCAACTCACATGTGGCTATTGATGCAAACCTGGTGACCGACCTCTATAATAGTGTTCGTGGCCCAGCTGCAAAACCAAAATCGTGCCCCCTGCAGAGATGATCCCGAACTATCCCGGGAAAACACCCGAAGAAATGAACAAGTCACGGGAAGGCTGGGTGAAGTAGAANCCAATGAAAAAAAAAGTGGAGACCTATAATTCCAGAGTTGATCAAATTCCAGGAGCACCCCGATATTGAAAGGCTTGGATTCCAAGAAATTTGTCCAAAAGCCTTTCTCCCCGAGCTCTACACCAAAACCAATCCCGAAGAAGTTCCGTATACCCAAAATTTTTGAAGTTTAACGAAACTTATCCACGTCCAATCCACACTTAATAGTGAGTGGAAACGATCGTTGGAAGAATAGTACCCGACAAGAGTCGGGGTCTATTTCCATAAGGAGTTACTAGGGGTGTTAGGAGTATACATTTAACGAAAGCAAATGGATTAACTAAATTTGCACTTCCACAAATGGTTTTGATTTTTACTTCTACTTTTACTCTAACAATTGTAAGCTAAGAAAAGAAATTAGAAGGGAATGATTGTTTTTGGTGTTTTTTCAAATAGTTAAAAAAAACTAGGGATGTGACCATAACCTAGGTGTTCGCCTAACGGGTTAAATACGTTAATACTTATTTTATTGATTGGGGCGTATTATAGCTCTCAACTCTATGTTACCCACTCAATACCCTCGGTCAAAGAGTGATTTTGCCCAATTCGACTTTATATCTAGTTTGAACCCTTTAATTAGGCTAATCAAACTCTCAATTAACCTAATTCCTTGTTAGCTAATTTATCCTAGTCTGGATCCCTCTTTCTCAAGTAGAGACTAAGTCAAAAAGGCATTAATCAATGTCTGCAACCATTAATTCTAAAATTGAAGCATAAACTAAGCTAAATAATCAATATCAAATCATAAACAAGCATTAAATTAAGTACCCATAAGGTTTACACAATAGGGTTAGATCACAACTCTAGTAAAAATCTAGCTACTCATAATAGAAATTGAAGAAAATAATGAAGAAATGCTAGTTAAACCCATAATCTAAGATTAAAATGATAAAATATAATATTTAAACACTAAAATAGTTACAAACTTCCTAAAATGGCAAAATGTAACTGCTACAACAACTCAAACTTCGAAACTTGACCTAAAAATGTGAAACTCGTCTATGCCCAAAATTCTCTGACAAAAATACCCCTTGGGAGGTTCTGCGACTACACAATTCCATGTGTGGTCCACAGATTTTTTCAATTGGCAGGAGCTTGGATTATGCAGCCGCACATTTTTGGGTTGTGGCTGTGAAGCTTCTTCTGCGGCCGCATAATTCTTGTGTGGTCCGCACTTCAACAAGGCTTCAAGACTTGGTCTTTTGCACACTCTCTGAACTTTGAAACATTAGTTCGTGCAGACCCTGTTCTGCGACAGCACAATTCATGTGCAATCCGCACATTGGCCAAAGTTGTGCTGGGTTCTTTCCCTTGGTCTGCAGCCGCAAATGGAATTCTGCGGCCCTCACTTTCTTTTGTAGACGCAGAAATCCTTCTGCGGATCTGCACTTCTTTGATTCTGCGCCCTTTATTGCCTTGTGATTCATAACACTCCTTTTTTGGTCGGATTTTATCATAGGAGACCAAACTTCCAACATTCCTACAATTTGAATGCTTTCTTAGTTTTGGGAACATAAATCAATACTTTCAGACTAAAACAAAAGCAAAAAGGTGCTAATAGGTAGTTAAAATCCCCACTTATCAGGAACCACATATCCAAACGAGCACGTGACCTCCTACATGTGTGCCATCAAGGGAAACGACTTAGAAGATGATGAAATTGAGTCAGTTTTTCTGAAAAAGTTCGGTGAAGCCCTGTCAAAAGGAGCATGATATGGCATCACAATTTACCCCCTAATTCTATTGATTCGTTTGTTATGCTTGCATATGCCTTTGTAAAAGCGAACGTCGGGGCCATCAAGGTTGAGACCAGAAAATCAGACCTTTTTAAAGTAAAACAAAGAGATAATGAAATACTCAGGGAATTTTTATCGAGGTTTCAAATGGAGCGAATAAACTTACCTCCGGTTGCGGAGGATTGGGCCGTTCAGGCATTCACTCAAGGACTCAACCCCCAAAACTCCTTGACTTCACAGCAGTTGAAACAAAATTTGATGGAATACCTGGTGGTAACCTGGGCCGACGTCCATAACAAGTATCAAACAAAAATCAGAGTCGAGGATGATCAGCTTCGGCCCCCTCCGGGTCTGTTTATCCCATCAGAACTAACTACATGCCTAAGAGATTCGTCGATCATGAACCAAGATCAAACAGAAACCTGTATCAACCGTATAGTGGAGATTAAAGGGGTAGCGGATCTGGGCATAACCCTGCGAAAAATGAAAAAAAGGAATGATCAAGGCCACAATAGTCGGGGACTCATAGGCAAAAATGGTTTCGACAGGCCACTCGGGGTCAGGGAGGCACAGAGATTATCGGAATATAACTTCAATGTTTGATTCTACTAGTATCATGTCCACCATCGGGCACATCATAGATACCAAGTGGCCTCGACCATTGCAGTCCGACCCTTCCTAAAGAGACCCTGATGTGTAAGTGTCATGACACTCATATCCACAGGACCGAGAACTGCCGACAACTAAAAGAAGAAGTGGCTCAATTATTCAATAACGGGCATCTTTGGTAATTTCTGAGCAATCTAGCCAAAAATCTAATAAACAGACCGAACAAAAGGAACCTCAACACGTCATTAATATGATCATTGATGGAGTCGACATCCGCTAGGGATCAAGGCTGAAATACACTAAGGTGTCCATCACAAGGGAAAAACAAACCCGAGATTATATACCAGAGGGAACCATCTCTTTCAACAATGAGGACACTGAAGGCATCGTGCAACCGCATAACGATGCACTGGTAATATCTGTACTCATAAATAAATCTCGAGTTAAGCGTGTGTTAATTGATCCAGATAGCTCGACCAATATCATCAGTTCGAGGGTCGTAGAGCAGCTGGATCTTCAAGACCAAAGAGTGCC